ATGAAGGCACTGGAGGGAGAGAGTTGTACACCTAGGGATTAACTAGCAAGTAAGAAGGCCCTGCTGTTTCATCTATTACCGGAGCAATTAGGTGACAGATCAGTTTTCTAAAGGTGGTGAGTGCATTCTTGATGCTGAAGTATATTTGTCTTATGCCACACCAAACATTGCAGAATTACTGGTGTTGAAGTCTATTTAGTCTTATGTCACACCAAACACTGCAGAATTACTTGGCATTTAGCAGGCTGTGAATTCAGTGGCTCCGAGCAGTCTAGTTGAGAGCAGTATGTCCCACAGAGGATCAAGCTGAGAATATTTTAATAGGTTGTCATCATCACTGGATAGTACTGGAAAAATTTGGCAGGAAGAGCAAGGCTTTAATTTGATAGGATTAAAGGTGTGTCAATGCTGGGTTTATCTGCCACCCTTTAAAATCAAAGTCTGTGTTTGTAAGCAGTTTCTTGCATAGTTTTTCTAGTTTATCAGTGACTCGGAAATACATGAGTCTCCTGTAGAGAATTAACAGGGGCTTAAACTTCGCATTGTGAAGACCTGTGCTAATAAGGTTTGAAGCAAAGAAAATCAGATTACTTATCTGTGCCACTACTTTGTCACTGACCCTGGCAATTTAATGGTGATTTATTATTTCTGGCATGCCTTTCAGGCCTGTTAGCAGAGTGCTCCAAGCAGAACTGCCCTGAAGTTTTTAGGAGTCCCTAGAGAACTGCACTGAGAGCCATTTCCCCCCTTCCATATCATATATCAAGCGCAGCATGGAGAAGCACTGTTATACCACTGCTATCTAAGTTGCACCTTCCTTTTACTATAATTATTTACATAGTACTGTATTCAAATTTGTGTGCTTTACCTTTCAGCATGCCACATGGGCCAAGCTCACACATGTCTTGCAGTGTTCTGGGCTTGACTTGGCAGGTTTCTGCTGAGCATGCCAGTTCAGGGTTTGATTTGTTATCAAACATGTGTGGGTAGCTGTGCTCTTTTCAGAAGTGCTATACATGTGCTCAAAGTAAGTATGTGTTTAAGTACCTTGCGGCTTACAGCCAAAATGCCAAATGCTTTGGCAGAATTTAGTTCTAAACAGGCTGTTCTTAAAGACTTCTTCATCGCATCCAAGTTAGCCAACATTTGACATGTTTCTAGGGCATGGTACTTCAAAAATACCCAAAGAAAAGAGGGAAAACCCAGTGACAGCACTGGTGATGGGTTGAGGCACTTGAGGTCACAAAGTTGCCTGTCTTGAATGTAAAGGAATTAGCCTTGTAGCCTTTTTTTCTTTCTCAAGACAGCAGTCATCGCATAGCTGGTATGCTAGAGAGAAACTAGTTCTCATTCATTCTCCATATGTTTGCTTGGAAGAGAGGCAAATAGCTTGTCAGAGTCATAATATTGAACATTTTGCTAAGGTTGGGTATAGGGCCAAACAAATGAGTGTATTTACTGATAAACCAGAATGCTTGTCTTGTCTGCACTTTTAGCCCCAAACTGCTTCTGCGCATTAGTTGTCTGACATAAAAGTTTTTTGTTGGTGGTGGTGGTGGTTTTTTTTTTTAATTGCAAAAGAGTGTAAGTACTAAAAGCTTTGTTAATATGCATCTACTTTGTGGTTTAGCACATGGACATAAATTTTTAAAAATGCTAAATCTACTATTTTGGGGTTTAGCAGGGGAGGAGGCGGGTAAGAAAATGGCCTTTCTATTGTTGTTGTTATATAGGAAAAATTCTTTCTGAAATGGAGCATTCACACAGAAGTCTATATGTGCATTAAATTCACAGCTTGAGTTAGCAACCTTATTTTTCCCAATTGCTGCTATGCAGACAAGCTCTCAGGACAAATGCTATTCCCATGAACTAAAACTTGGTGCAGCTGATGCCGGTGACCTGTAGCTTGGAGTAAAATGGAAAGCATCATAAATTCATCTGTGCCTTGCAGGCAGGATCATATGCTTTTCAACTGGCATGGCCAAAAATCTGTTTGTACATAGATGTCATTCCTTCCCAGTGGTAGTCACTGAACAGATTCTGTTCTACATGCCAGCAGTCTATAGGAGAGCAGGTGTTTCTATATCTAACGTACTTCAGTTCTGAACCCAGGGCTGTTCTCTTGACTTGGAATCAGGACATGTTCATTCCAAAGTCTATGATTCCCGCTGCTATAAATACTCCTTTGTTGTTGTTGTTCTTAATTTTTTTCGGTTTATTTAAAAGAAAAGATCACCATGGCAGCCTTCTGTATTAAAGTGATCCTCCATACTCTACCTCTGCAGGCTTGATTATTTTCCCTTAAAAGAAAAAAAATCACTAAAAATCGCACTGCTCTGGACTGAGTCTCGTTCAGACTGGTGGATGTCCTGATATGGCTACCGGCTGCCTACAGAAAAAGCAACTTTGAATACGTTTGGGAGATTTCTCTGTTAATGCTAAAATTTAAGGTTCAGAAAACAGACTTCTCCTTTGAGTCTACAGCTAGTTTGAAGCATCCAAATTTTAATGTACAAGGAAAAATAAACAGCATATACATGCCTAACGTTCTAACTGAAAAATCTGAGAGCACTTTAGTTAAAGTCTGTTAGCATCCCTATGATATAAACAAAATATATAATATCCAAGGTTTACATCACTTTCCAAAAAAATAAGTGTCGTAAGGTATTCAAGGGTTGGATGTATTTATTAATCCAGTACACGGACACATAAAGGTTAGATTTGGAGAGCTCCCTGTACTACTGAAATGCCAGGAATGGCAGTGGAAAGGGGGTGGGTGGGGAGTAAAGGAATTTGTTTGACAGGCTAAGAGAGACTATTTGCAAAGTTAAGTTTAAGGATTTAATAGGCTGAGGCTTTATGAGCTAAAGGTCCATTATGAAACCTCTGTAACCTCTGAAGATCTTGGGGCTCTCTGTTGAAGATAACAAGTAGTCACAGCTCTGCTTCACCTTGCCCCTAATTCACCTTAGCAGCATATGTCTCTAAGGATTCAGTTTCACCACCTAGGGTGAGCAGAAATAGCAGCTTACTGTCACTGAAAGAGGGAAATACAAGTCCCTCGTCTCAGCCCTTCCCTTCTCCTGGCTGTGAAGTTTTGCCCCTTACCTTGGGCTACCATGAGCAGTTGTTAGGGTGCTCCACAAGCCAGCTTAATTTACAAGGAGGTGCGGGGGACACAGTGGAAGAAACAACAAAAGTAAGGTAGCTCTCTTATTTTTGACAGTAAGTGGTAAGTAGTGTGATGAGGTGTGACTGAAATCGTAGATTGTAGTCTCTGGTGCTGAGTACCTGATATTCCACTCTGTCTGTGTTTCAGGGGGTGTTTCAGACTGCTTTTAATCTGGTCCCGTGGACAAATGCCTGTTAGCTGGGTGTTCAGGTTGGAGGGTGCTATGTGTGCCACTGAAGTACATCTTTCAGTTTAGTTTCTTTGAAAAAGGCCCGGTTTGGTCCATCTTGCTTTAAGGATACTCCATGATGTAAACTAAAGTGTAGTAGGTGGGGACAGTTGGATGGTTAGGTCCCAAAGCACACTCATGTCCTGAACAAAAACATTAGTAGGGGCACAGCCTTGTTGAACTGAATCAGCCCTGTAGAGAACAAGTATGGCTGGAAGGCTAGAAGAGGGAGATGACCACAGTTCTTTAGCAGCAAAGAGCTGTGTGTCAGCTCATCTGTGAGCACCACAACCAAATCTAGACTAGTTCAGCGTTTCCAGTGATTCCTAATGTTTCACATTCCTGATAGCCTAATTCCAGCTCTACTGCAAAGCCATCATTTTCATGGAAATCTCTATGCCATAGAAAGTCTGAGGATGTTTAGCTAAAATTTTGAATTTTCTAGCCAACTGCAGGGAAAATGCAACCATTCAAGAGAATGTCACAGGTGAACAAAGATGCACAATTTGCAAACTGCATTTTCAGTCACATTTCATTCATGGATCTGTGTGAATTTTGGGCATCATGTTTGAGCTGATCATCCATACACACAGAAATCAATCCTAAAAAATACTTTCTGTGCAATGCTTTTGGAAAACTGGAGGGTATTACTCTCAAAATGGTAAGTTACCAAATGTAAATCAACAGCAAGGGTTTTAAGCAAGTTGTCTTTTATGTACCAGAGATGAAAAAAGGCTTCCTGAAGCTCTCATGCTATCAGAGTCTCATGACTGACAGCTAAACCTTTTTAATGGGTGCCTGAAGTCTTTTTGACTTCAGCATCTTACCTGTGGATTCTTGGTGCGTAGAAGCATGTGGGTCCATGTTGCAGGATTTTGGTCTGTGAGGACAAACCTATCTATAATTTTCTCTAAAAATTATAGGACCTAAACATTTTTGAGGCTACTTCCTTCTCTGCCCTTGTTTGTTTGAATGGGTCAGTACTCTAGATAGACACATGGCGTCACTGTATCAGCCTTATTTCCCGTGGAAGCCAGATAATAACAAGCAGATGTAGTTAAGCTCCCAAAATTCTGTTTGAAGGTGACAAACAACACCCAAGAAAAAAATATATAGTCATTCTTATAAGTAAACCATTGCAACACGAGCCTTTCTGGTACCTGCCTCCCAAGTGGAGTCCCAACCCTTCCACAGGCTCCATTTGAGGTTTGTGAGAGGAGCTGGATGCAGCAGCCTTGGATGGGGATGTTGCACACAGGATGGGGAGGTGCTAATGGAGCATAAGCCTTGGTTGAGCAAAGGGTTTTTCAGGTCACAGCTATGTACTTCATTACCTAAACTCTTTCTTCGATCAAGCTATAAATTAGTAGGTGGGTTTTTATAGTTAGGCTCCAAGGCTGTTATTTCCAAACCTGTCGGAGGAATTTGGAAATGTATCCACGGCCTGGGAAGTGAACTTGATTTAGGAGAAATGATCTGCTAATCAAGGCTTGCAACAGTCAATTCCCTGCTGAATATTAATTTGCATAGCCAGATGTCCCACATTAGTTGAATTATCTTCCAAATATTTTCCAGGTACAGCATTTTGAAACTAAAAGATATATATTTTTTTCTTGTAGGTAGCTTAAAAATGGATTCTCACAAAGAAGCTCAGCCTAAAGGAGAGTTTAAATGTCAGTTATGTGGCTTAACAGCTCCATATACCTACTATGGGCAGAAGCCACCAAACACGCGCTCAATTGTGTGAGTACAATTTTTTCATATTTTATTTATGCTATGGGCAGTATAAGCTTTGTGCTGTGGAATGATGTATGTTCCATAAACTCAATAATATGCCATATTAATATGAGGTTTCAGATTTAAGATGACCTTCATTTACCAAAGGAAGAAAATGATAAAAATTGTCAACATTGATAGCAAAGAGAGGAGGAGGGGAAAAAAAAAAATCTTTCTCATCCTGCTCCAGCGCAATGCAAAGGCTCATATTTAATCTATTTCCTAACCACACTGACCACCCTACAATTTCCCTATTCCATAATTTTCATGGTAGAATATTGTTGACTGTCAGCATAGCATTTCTGGGAACAGCCCTTTACCTCACAGCTGTATCAACTGGATAATAATGTAAACACAACATGAATTATGTACATATGGTAAAAACACTTCTTAAGTGCTGTTTAATATTTGCAATTTCAAATAGCTCTTTTTTGGGGGGGGAGGGGTGAATTAGATAATTTGGCAGAATGTGTAGCTCTAAAATGTGTGGAAATTTAGTACATAATTACATTTCAAGAGGCTGAATCTTTTTTCTTCCCTATCACAAAGGGATAGTTTGTCAAGAAATTATGCACTCGTGACTCAGTCTGCGGACATTAAACTCCCCGCAAAACAAACATTTACCTTTAAATATATGAGTAGCTCTTTTGAGGCTGTGCTGGTCAATGAACCCATCAGGCAGACGCGGTCAGGACCTCACTGGGACTGGAAGTCAGGCATATACTCAGCATTTCAGCCTACTGAGACTGCTCAGTTACTTGTAAAATGGAAACAGCTGTTGGTCAGTGCCTGCTTGGGCTGAGATCAGTTCTGTTATCTTTGGGCAGCTGTATTTTTATCACTCCAAATTCTACAGTGCTACTAGTTTTCCTCCTTCCTTTCTGAAGAGAGTCAGGCCCTCATGTAAAGAATCTGAATCAAAGCTGAATATGGCTCCTACTTTAAAATTTCTCCAGCTCATTGTTATCCTCTTGGCTTTATTTAAGTCATTCGCATCCAAACAGCAAAAGCATACTTGGGCTATAATAATAGCCCTTCCATAAATGCACAGGAGAAGTACCTTTAGAGACTGCCTTTATTGATTTATTTTCTGGTCTGCTGGTAGACCTAAGCACTGCAGGAAACGTATGCCTAACAGGGAGGCTTGTACAATGGCCAAGTCTCTGCATTGGTGATGGGTATGTTAATTCTGTGAGCCTTGCAAGGAGAGCTTTGCAAAGGTAATCCAGCCTTTGGATTAGAACATTAGAAGATTTGTTGTCAAACTAAGACACCTGGTCTTTCCTAACAGCAAAGACTTTAGCCCTACCATTCTTTGAATGGAGGGGAAAGTGAGAAAGGAGTATTCCTTTCTCACAGACACGCACATATAAATGTTTTTCTATGTATGTAAAGACACAAGTAAAGGACTGAACAGGTTGTCAGAATATCTTTTGTACTCCATTGTACTACAGAGTTCAGTCTGATTTATATAAATAAGCCAGGTGTGCAAAATGTCCTGTGCAGACATTAACCAAACTGCGTTCAGTAAGGCTTTGCCTGGAGCTCTCAGGAGGAATAAGGCATTAGTCTTTCCCAAGCAGGTTGCCAAGTTGCTGGTAAATGCGCTCCCTGAATACCCTGAAGCAAACAGAACAAACAGTCTCAGAGATAAGGTCAGAATATTTCAGATCATTATAATGCTCTGTACTAATAGCTCCTGCCTGCAAGAGACAGGAATCGTAACTTTACAGCAGTGGCTTGAGAGCAGTAAAAGCTCTTTTTATTCTATACTTGCACACATATATCTTTCAAAGAGAATCTCTAATTAGAAGTTCTACAATTGAGATGATAACTTGACAAGGTACCATACATGTACCACTGGCCATGCAAAGGAGTGCCTATGAAAAATGGAAGATAAAAAAGCACTTCAAGTGGAGCACTAAGAAAATCTTAGTAAGGCCTGAGATGATCACCAATTGCTCTGTTTTGGGGAGGAAGTGCCACATTTTAAGACTGAAGGGAGACACAAGGTTGATTTTAAAAAGGAAGGAGGCTCCAGGATCACTTGTACAATACTAGGCACGGCAAACCAAGGAGAGAGGACTTCTGCCTTTTTATCCCCCCTTTAATTCTCTGTTTGAGCTCTTCCCCTGCCTTTAAAAGCTTGGAATTATTCTCTTCTAGGCTTTTGGAAGAGTGCTATGTAATGAAGGATCCTTTCACCCCTGACAAGGACAGATTCCTCATCCTTGGGTCTCAGTGCAGTTTGTGTAGCAAACTGGTGTGTGTTGGCACGGTAAGTAACAAGCAAAACAAGCATTTTGTCACTTCTTTTTGGTCCAACCCCTGTGACCCGTTAGAGAAAGGCGGAACAACAGGGAAGACCCAAGCAGTCTATTTTTAAGGCATGCTGGTTGTCTGTCCTGTTGGATCCCCCAGATAAAGCCCTTCATATAAGTAAATGAAAGGCATCACAAAGTTTAAGTTTTTGCTCTATTTAAAGTTTCCTATATTTGCACAATCCAACCCCGCAAATGCAGTGAATGCCCTTTTCCACTGTCTTAGCACAGGAAAAATGTGAGGGAGATCATGTGTTGCTTCAAGACTCTCAGGTCCTTTCTTGCAGCAACATACTATGCCAAGGGTTTGGGTTTTTTTGGTTTTTTTTGTTTTTTTTTTCCATAAAGAAGATATGAATGTCTACAGGTGGTTAGGTTTGCACCATCCTCTTTCTAAAAGGTGAGGTAGAAAATGAGCAGGGAGAAGAATTGTGAAGTGCTGTGGCAGACCTCTGAAGAAGCAGGAATTTGTGTAGCAGCCTCTAGGCAACCGTAAGCTATGAATTCTGAGTGTGGTTCAGAGAGGTGGTGTAAAATTACAGTTGCCTTAATTCCTTCTCCTCAGCGCAAAATTGGTCCTTTTGTTTGCTGTGAGTTCAAAGTAAAACTGAAGACAAGTTATTACACAATTATCAGTGTCCTGAGGCTGTACTCTGCTTCTTTGAGGCAGTACAATGAACGGAGAAAATGTTTAGGTTAGACTCTCTTACCTTTGTGAGCCAGTTGTGTGACTGAAGAGATATATGCAAGACACATACATGGCTCATGCATGATCGTCACTGGGAGATATTTGGCCATCTGATCATTTTCACAGTGGCATGTATTTGTTAAACTGGACCATTGCCCTCGTAGCAGCCAGATCCTAGCATTCTCTTTGGTTTTCTGAAGTGCTACGCTTCAATGCAGTTGATCACATGTGTGAAAGCACAGCTCAGTCTTGAAGATCAGTTTCAACAATTTTCAAATTTAACCATTTCAGCCATCCATAATGGCAGCAATCAGGGCCCAACGTTGGTGATGTGATCCTTGCTAAAAGTAGCTAGTAGCAGGAGTTAAAAGAAAGAGAAGAGAAAAAAAATGTGAATGTCTTTGTGAAGATGTGAAATGGTATGTTTGGTGGCCAAGCCTGCTGACCATACTAACCTTTGGCCCTGCTCAGAGCATGAGGTGAGATAATCTGGGCAACTGAAACAGCTCAGCTGCCAATGCCAACAATTTCTGTGGGGGAACTAGAACAAATTCACTTGAACAAAAGACAGGGTCAAATTACACCAACAAAATTCAGAGGGTTTTGGACAGATGCAGCCAAAAGGAAATTGGCACGATTGGACAAGTTTAGCTACAATTGTGACTTGCAGGGCATTAGCATCAAGGACAGGTTTGGTACACTGACCTAAGAGGCAAAAAAGTGTACAATAACATCTTTCTCCTGGTTCAGTTTGTTTTACATTTCTGAGGCCTTTCCTGCCATTTAAAAGAACGAAAATCACAAAAAAAAAAAGAAAAAAGAAAAAGAAAAAGGTCAGACTAGAGGCTTGAAACCACCATTTATTTTCCTTTCTGGCATTACCAGAAACCACTCCTATGGAAGCCTATTGAAGCCCTCAAGCTCTCTGGTTACGTCTTTGATAGCTGAGCTCAAGTGTCCAGAGCTGGTAGCTCAAGGCGCTTGTGCACCTACAATGTGTAGAGGCAAAACTCCCCTGTGAGCGGGATCTTCCTTGTGGCAGTGTCCTGGTGGGGCTGGCAGTCAAGTCACTGCTCTGAGCAGCCAGAGTCAGAGCAAACGTAGAAGCAATAAAGCTAGTCAGATAGTTGGACTTAGGAACTTTTATTCCTGCCCTAACAAGCCAGCTTTATCGTTCCTTTTTAACAGCACCGGATTTAGCAAATCAGGCATATTTTGAGCAAACTTGAGCATATTTTGCTGCTTTCATTCCCAAATTCTGTGGTTTGAATTTAAGAATTTGATAGATATTTGCCAGTCTAGAAATAACACTTACCAGAAATACTGAAATTTGGCATCTCAGTAGTTTTCCACATACTGTATCTTAATGAACGTGGGGCGAACGTGGGGCTCTGCCTTTGAAAGATTTATTAATTATTTAATTTAGGGCATGACAATCTATAGAGGACATGATCAGTGAGGTG